GTGTGTGTGTGTGGTGTGTGCTTGCGTGTGCAGTACGGTACGCGTGCGTGTGCGTTTGCACGTTGATTTGTGTCTGCGTATGTGAGTGTATTTTTCTCGCTGTGTGTGTACTTGTGTGCATGCATGTGTCTGTGTGTGTATGTGTGTGTGTTTGTGTGTGTGCATGTGGGTGTGTTTGTGTGTGTCTATGTGTGTGTGTGTTTGCGCACGTGCGCGCGCACGTGTGTGTGAGTGTGTGTGTGTGTGCGTGTGTCCGTGCTTGTGCACAAGTGTATGTAAAAGTTTAAGCATGTATGTCAGTTTTTGTGTTTATGTGTCTGTGTTTACTCGAGCATTATGTTCTTCACAAGAAGAACATGAAACCGACTACTACAAAACAACCTCTAGTTGATCTTATGAAAATCTACTCAACGTATGTGCAAAGATCTGTTCGTGCCTACTAGATTTCGTGTTGCTGAATTTGTGCTGAGTGTAATTTTCTCAAATTATACAAGGATCACAAAAGTTTTTTTGCTTTTTTACCGTGATCACATCTGGTTAGGAGAACTTTCATGGTGTATCTGTTGCCACAGGGAATGATATCAGAACTGCTGCACGCGTGTGCTTTCCTAAATTACATTGTTGCACATATCAATATACTGAAGCATATTTTGATTTCTTTCTTCATCCCCCACCCCCACCCTACCCCTACGTTTCCCGGTCCAGAACCTTTTTTTTAAATAGCAGTTTTCTGCATATTGTCTGTTGATTTCCTGAGTTTTTCCAGAGCTAGGTTTTCTTAACAGTTCATGAGGACTGGTGTTAAAGCCGCAGATGATAACAGGTTGTTCAAATTTTGTGTTAATTGTTTCTTTGGAACAGAAATGATTTCGGCGCATTTCTAAGAGAGTGGTATCTCGCCATCTTCACAAAAACTGATGAAACCGGTGATCGTCTCACATAATTATTTTCACCAATACTATTACAAGAAACTTTTAAAGAATTCCAGTTTGTATATTTAACGAATCCATTGAAACTTTTATTGCTTTCTTCAGTCCCGATGGAGACATCTTTCCTTAACTGGCTTAGACTATAATTTAAGTTTGGGTTCATACTTTGGCAGGGCGGGATTAAGTATGTTGGAGGCCTGGAGTCTACTTGGAAGGTAGGTCCCCCTTTTCAACTGCATCTATTGCATACATATTGGTAATAAAAGAGTTATACAATGGTCTGAGTTTCCAATAGAAGGCAGATAAATACATTTGTAAGCATTTGATAGCTAATTTGCATAACATAGGTAATTGTTTTGTTCTCGTCGGTTGGTACGTTTATCTATTGATTGAACTAGCTGCGCCCCTTTCGATGAAAGGAATGATCGGTGCTTTAATATCAACTAAAAGTCGTAATTATAAGGTCTAGATCTATACTCTCAGAAGAAAAAAAATGCGCCCCGCGAAATATCACTTCCGGATTTTCTAAAATTACAGAGATAGAAGTGTCAGCCTACAAAAGCGATCGGCGAAATAAAGAAATTTAGCTTTATACAGCAAAACCATAGCAACACTGAAAAAAAAACCAAGGGCGTCATGCTCTGGCGAATATTTTAAAGAATCTTTTGGCGAAAACCGCATGTCGATCGATGTAGCCATTAAAAAGCCTTTTGAATAGCAAAATTCGGCCACCACAAATAGATAATAGAAGTGGGGATGGCAGAAGTTAAGGATAGTTGTCAAAATCCCCAATCACTGTCCAGACAAAAAGACTGTAGTTTACAAGTTACTTTGACCATGGTGTCTTCGGCATTTTCAACATATTATTGAGGAATATAGACAATGTTGGTTGTTATCTTTACAAATCCCATCGGTACAGAGGTAGTATGGGTGTATAACAATCGTGGGGCATTCAATGTCAGGAGTACACAGATGAAGTTTCCCATAAATTCTGTTGCGATGGCACCACCTCGTCCCCACACACACATCAAGCTCGTTCTTTATTTGAGTACATCGTTCTGTTACAACGTACAAGATGGAATCTACCAATGTCCACACTGTTGTTTGAAACATTCTCATCGAACAACGCCTTGCTAAAACAGAGGATGAAAGAGGATTCTTTACACTTGTGCATAAACCTAACGTTTGCATACGTTCAACCGTTCTATTATTTAATGATGTTGTGTTACCAGTTACAGTTGCAGGAAAAAAAGACCTTACTGTAAAAAACGCAATAAATATGGCACAATCACATATGATTTGGGTCACGACGCGGTGGAATCAGGTGTTCGCCAGTTTTTGGACAGTTATTGGTATCACTTAAGAGGTTGTTTATTTGTCTTGCTTTAGGTAAAAAAATGCTCATATATAATGAAAAGAAGTCGAGATATTTGCAAATGGCGGAGTTGGGGGCAACTGGTTTCAGAAGTAAAATTAGACAGAAAATGGTTGCCAAATATCGCGATTTTCAAAGCTTGAGAGTCCTTAAAAATCGCAAATGTACATTTTTGTGCCCGTATTCAATTTAAAAAAAAGTAAAATCCACACTGAAATGTGTTTTCAGATGGACCTTAAAGGTGTTGAATAAAATAAAAAATTGTTTATCTTTTGGTTGTTGTTGTTTTCGCTATTCTGTCAAAAAAACAGGTTGGTCTTTGAGCGAATCTCTCCCTCCTTTCAAAGCTCAGTAAAACGAAGAAAAAAACCCCATGCGAAATATGGGTAGAAAATAATTTTGAAAATAAAAAATATAGATTACACTTTCATTTGTCCCAGAAGGGCACTTTGGTTTACAATGGCAAACATACATACACATACATACATACATTATTTTAAATACATACATCAATACATGCACAAATACATACAGAGATTCTAAGTAAACAATATTACACAAATACAGAATATTTACAAACATGCCATTGTCGGTCGCCACTGCAGCGCCCTGTATTTTGAGCTAGGGTTGTCGTGTCTTGCTCAAGGACACACCCTAGTGACCACCCATCTGATCCCCGTGTCACTGACACTTGCTTGACATTACTTGAGTCCAAACTCACTACTTACTTAGCCACTGGAGCCCCCATATTTTCATAGTGTTATCACTGGCAAGGGGATTATGGGCCTGAGTTCAACTTCACTCTATAAATTTTCATTTGGTGATAAAGGCACAGAACGATAATATTTTTTAAAAAATCAGCAAATAAAGAAACAAACTAATGTAAGACACACGAACAACTTACCAGACTTTAAAAAATATTATCATTATGCTTCAGAGCCTTTAGCTATAAGAAATTTGGAGGAGTCAGCTTTCAAAATATATTACTACGATTATTACTAGTGCCAAGCAAACCACGACTCACGTGTTTCGACGAGAGAAGAGATGGCTGCCATGTTTGCCAGTGTGTCCACCTCTGACACACACACTCGGCCTCCGAGTGGACGATGGTGTTGGTGCCGGTGTCGTGCATACAGTGCTGGCGTCCGAATACTTTGGTTGTAGAGTCGCATAACAAGTTCGTCTAGACAAGAAAGAGTAACAGTATAATAGTAGCTTATGGTCCAACGTCTTTGCCTATCATAGAGCCTGCTGTTGAGCGGGGATATGCGCTATACAAATGCTATCTTTTATTATCATCTCAACGAACAAGACATGCTATTTTTTTCTGTTCCCTTTACTTTTCTTATCCTCTGTTGTTTCTGTCTGTCTGTCTTTGCTTTTCTATACGCTACTTGACTGTTATCCTATGGACGTGCGTCTCGTGAACCTAATTCAGACTAAACCGACAGGAAAAGACCGCCGTAGGTGGTGTAGCAGTTCGGCAATTCCCCGTCGCACGCAGAAGACCCAAGTTCAATTCCCGTTTGTGGAGAATTTTTATCAAGTATCTGGTGCTTTCTGTTGGGACCTCGTTTCCCTCTCAGCATGGGTTGGCCCTTACATCAGGGATTGGAGCCTGCCTCCTAAATAACACAAGGTGTGTCTATTGGAGAGTAATGAAGCCTACATTTGAACACATTATCTTTAGTTCAGATTTCAGGTGAACACTAGCAGCCTTGCATTACTAAAAGCTCATTATGACCCCCCCCCCCACCTCGCCATCAGGACGCTGCACACTAGGTCAAGCAGTTTGAAATACCATGGTGTTTTTGCCGGTGTCGTGTAGACAATGCTGGCGTCCCAATACCGTGATTGTAAGAGTCGCATAACAAGTTCGTCTAGACAAGAAAGAGTAAAAGTATAACGGTAGTTTATGGTCCAACATTTTATCAGAAAACAAATAGGGAACTGGTTTTGTGTTTTGCATGTAAATCCAGTCTTAAGGCAAATGATAAATACTGGAGCGCAGTTCACTGTCTAAGTTCACTGTCTATTTTCTGAAGGGTAAGCCAAACAAATTACAATGTGTGCCCCCCCAAAAAAAAAAAAAGACAAAAAAAACAAAAACAAAAACACACAGAAGAGTCCCTCGCAATTACCGAAACCTGAAACAACTTTTTCTAAAAATAGTTTTCTCAGTCGTGTACTTCTGTGTACAATTACCAGATCGCAGACAATACTTACTAATGAGTACCCAGAAGGCTGTTAACAGAAGAAACTCTATTACATTGAATTTTCTTAAATGCGCTTACACCATTATCTTTTCACACCCGAAAAGAGAAGGGAAACAAATAAGAGGTAATAAAAAAGCTTTGAACATTATGTTAAATTCTGTGTTCCTGTGACGCTGTCTGAAGCAACGTCTGCGTCACTTGAGTAGTTCAAACACCAGCTTAGTACCCAAAAACATTTGTCGAAAGTATTATCACAAAGCTGTTGGGCGGGTCTTTTGTTGAGTAGGGCTACGTCAAATCAGAAACCATAATCAAGTCAACAAAGCAAAAGTCTAAGAAAACCTTTGAAGACCTGCGTCTCTTACAGCACCTTATAGCCGAAACCAGAATTACGACCAAAGCCAAACACAAGTCTAACTAAACAGTAGGTGTGTACGACATTGTGGAATCAGACGCTCATCAGTTTTCGGGCGTTGTGAGTTATTGGTAAAATCTCAAAACCTGTTCACTTGCCTTGCTTTTAACGAAACAAATACCCATATATCTTGAATTAAAGTCGAAATATTTGCAATTGAGGAGATCAGCGTCGCCTGGTGTCAGAGGTAAATTTAGTGAGAAAGTGACCAACGAAGTTTGATGACTCCAAAACCTTGTGTATCCTTGGAAACTGCAAATATATATTCGCCTGCCTTTGATCAGTGTTTGTGTAGTTTAACCAAAGATAGTGAATAACAAGATGGGCCACTCAGCCAAAAAAGTGTCCGCAGGAAGTATGCTCTTTGCTTCAGATGGCGCTGCAGTCTGTTTTGAAGCTCTCTTTCGTTTTTCCAGAAGAAGAATAGGAATAGCACCTCCTTGCGTGCGCAGATCGACTGCTGTTCATCAGCAGTTCGGGTACGTTCAGTGCGGAGTTTTAGTTTTTTATTTTATTTTAATGACCTCTCGCCTTTCATTCTAAAGTCAAATTAAACGAAGAAAACCATCACCCTTTCCTCCGGAAGAGGTTTTTTGTCAGCGTAACCATTTTAAAAAAGTGTTCTCCCGTAATTTATCCAAAAACTTGCTAGTTTCACTTTGATTTTTAAAAACTCAAGTAGGGTAACTCTGTTCGCAAAGAGTGCGCTTTTGTGAAGAGGGCGCCACCAAATTTTGAGGACACTTTTTTAATTGGCTCAAAGAGAGAAGTGGCCCATCTTGTTATGTACTATCATTGGTTTAACTATACATGCATACGGTTTTACTACACACACCCACCTCATGTAGCGATCCAACTTGCACTGACTCGTCGCAACTCTCTCTGCGCTGCGCCTCGACCGCCACTCACTCACGCAGTCTTCAAAAGTCCGTGGCTCACGCCTCGGCCTGTCCTTGGTTTCTTCAATGTCAACCGTACTCGACTACTTTCCCGAGAATCACACAGCTAACCACAGTTTGTCAGTAAAATTCACAAAGAAATGTGTTTTAACAGACGTAAAGGGTGTTGAGCCAAAATAAAACCTGGATTAAAAATGATCAAACGGCGGAAATATTACGGTTTCTTCGATTTCATTTTTTTTTAAGAGCGGCTGATTTCACGACGATGCCTCGTCTTTTTCCGAAAGCTTGAAGTGCATTTAGGAAAACTCAACATTACAGGGTTTCATCTGTCAACAGCCCTCTGGGTACTAATTAAGAAGTCACAGCTTATAATCATCTTGTGATAATTGACGAAAGTAGGCACTACGTGTCTGAACAAATATAATTGTTTTCGATAAGTTTGGTAAGGTTTCGGTAATGATGAACGCCTTTTCCTTGCTCTGTAAGTACACATTTTTACTTGTTCTTTGGCTTATTATTTAGAAAACAGATAGTGAACTGCACCCAGGTTGGGGGTGTAACCCCTCGTATTGTTGAACAAAGCACGTGCGTATCTATTTATGCCTTAAGGAAATGTGTAATATTGTCTAATATACCGTATTTGCATTTTAGCCTTCTTTTTTCCTTCTCAGCTCTTCCCAATAACTCTTATGGGTGGTCAACCTTAGACATGACCTGTTTGTTTCTAATGAAGCGTTCTGCTCACATTTATAAGCCAGGGAAAACAAACAAATCAACACAAAACAGACCTGCTCTTGAATGTTCTTGCAGACGACCACCGAGCTCATGGGGTCGTTACAGGACACCATTGAGTAAGAAGGGATTTGTTGCAAGACAGTGAGGACTGTGCAGTTTATGCCATCAATGCCCTGTGGTTTTTCCACAACTGTGACGCATTATTATTATTGTGTCGAAGCATTTTGCGGCGCACTCGGAGTTTGTCTCTCTCTACATGTGTGAAGACGAGAGAACCCGTGAGTTGACTGGATGATGCACAACTGTACTTTTGGAGCCGAACCTCGTGTGTAGCTGCTTCGACGTAGTGCAGAAATAGGGGGCTGAGGTGAGCAAAGGTATGCAGGCTACAAATGTGATGCTTGATAGAGGGGACCATAACTATTGTTCCTGTGGATGAGATATCGGAATGTACTATGCCATAAGCTGAAAAAACGATTCTTTTTTTGGCGCGAAATGTTTTCATTTGCTAAATTGAAATCCTACTTGTGGGAATAAAATCAAAAATGAAACTATGACTAGATCCAGTTTTAAAATAAATTAGAATTCAAATTTCGGAACAACGCCCTTTTTAAATGGTTACGCTGACTAAAAGCCTCCTTAGTGCGAAACTGATGTGAATGAAAAAAGGCGTTTTGTCAACTTACGGCAGTCTGTCCATTAGGATTTAAATAAGATAAGATGAGAAAAGATAAGATAAGATAAGACATTATTATGACAGGATAAGATAGTGAGATTTATTATTGTGCAGGTTATAACATTAACACTTATGCGTGGCTATACTTAGAATACCATAAGATATTCATTTGCATTTTAATATTATACGTCTTTCTTTCGTCAAAACTTAGGCGACCACCCCAACACAGCGTGTTCAGGGTGACGGATAATGGACGGCCTCCAGATATGTGGGGTTAGCTGTGAATACCCAATAAGCAGCTGTGAACCAATCTGGCGATGACTACAGAGGGTGAGGTGGGGTAGTTTTGGTGGTTCTGCCACTCTTATTAAATGCCACAGCATGTCCAGGGAAGTGGTCATCGGGAGAATCCAGGCGTCCATAAATGTTCTTTTACCCTATGAGTCAAATAGTGAGGATGTCTGGCTTCTCTGTGGGTGAGAGATTTATTTCTCCAATAGCAAAGGGTAGATGAGGATGTTTTCTCCCAACTGCCACCGGATACCTGTGCTTTGTTCCCTCCAGAGGCCACAGAAATTTGTGGGGATATTCCTCTGGACGTTGACGATTGGCTAACATTCCACTTCTTAAAACTTTACTTGTTACTAAAACAGGTAACATACAACGTAACCTTATAAATGTGTTGGAAAAATGGAGCAGTTCCCATGGAACAATTATGACTGTTAACAGCCCGAGGAGCTCTCTTCTTAAAAACAAATAAAGACCTTAAAATAGGGTTCTGGAATATTAGAACCATGCCCCAGACAACTAAATTGTCCAAGATTACAAAAGAAACGAATAATAATCATCTCGACATAACAGACCTGAGTGAAACACGCTGGCCAAGCCAAGGAAAAATATTTCTTAGAAATATTTAAAAAACCCACACTACTATACTCAGGACCATCATAGAGCGGACAACACGGAGTAGGAACCCTACTATAGTGCGGTCAAAAATTCCTGGCGCAGCTTATCTTCAAATAACTTTTTAACGGGTGAACCAATATCACCCATACTTTGCACAGCAGTTGGTTTCAATTTGTCTTATCTTAATCATATTTTTCCACAACAATTGAGGCCGGATTAAAAACTGTTCTTCATAAATGTATATATAATAAAACACTATAAATCTCCATCACGCCGAAAATGTGATTGTTCACAGCATTTCCCGCTTCTCGCACACATTTTGTATAAGC